AAGGTAAAAAGATTGGAAAGGAAGATACAAAACAGTCATTACTTGTATATAGAAAACTCAACAGAGGCAACAAATTATTAGAATGAGAGATTCTAAAAAGATCACAGCTACAAAAAAAAAAATACATAAAACAGCCAGCTGTATTTCTATCCCCAAACATAGCAAAAGTATTTGTTAAAATGATACAATTTACAATAGCACTGAAAACTATAAAGTATCTAGGAATGAATTTAATAAAATATATGTAACACTGTTCTGGGGGAAATGTGTAATTATACTCTAAGACATTGAAGAAGACTTAAAAAATGAAGGAAGTCATGGATACAAGATTCAAAGTCATAAAGATGTCTATTCTTCCTAAATTGATCTATAAACTAAATGCCATCCAATCAAAATCCCAGAGTTTTTTGTGAAAATGTACAAGCTGAGGGGATCCCTGGGTGGCTCAGTGGTTTAGCGCCTGCCTTCGGCCCGGGGCGTGATCCTGGAGTCCTGGGATCGAGTCCCATGTCAGGCTCCCGTCATGGAGCCTGCTTTTCCCTCCTCCTGTGTCTCTGCCTCTCTCTCTATGTGTCTTTCATGAATAAATAAAAAGTAAAAAATAAAATCTTTTTAAAAAAAGAGAAAAAAAGAAAATGTACAAGCTGATTCTAAATATAAACAGGCTGCTTATTCAGAACAAACATCAAGGAGCTTGTCTGGTCAGATATGGACTTTTTATAAAGCTATAGGACAATGTGATCTGGGTAGAGAAATGAACCAATAGATCAGAGTAAGTCACAACAGAGAGCTCAGAAACAAACCTGCATATATATATATATATATATATATATATATATATATATGGAAAGTTGGTATAAGATTGGGCTTTAAAGATCTGTGGTTATTCTGTATGTTGGTAAATTGAACACCAATAAAAATTAATTTATAAAAAAAATAAAAAAAAAATAAATAAAGATCTGTGGTTAAAAGATGGATTCCTTAATAAAAGACGCTGGGCCAATTAATCATACGATTAAAAAAAAGTATATACCTACAACACAACATAAATGTCATAATGAAAGGAAAAAAAACCAAAGGATAAAACTTCATAAAACAATAGAGGACAGATGTCTTTATGACTTCCAGATAGGGAAGGACTTCTAAAAACACAAATGACACCGACCATAAAAGATTGACAAGTTCAGTACGACTGGAATGAAGAACTCTGTTCAACAAAAGCTCCAACACAGAGATTACACACTGAGCACCTGTTAGATGATGTCTGCAGCACATAAAATGACAAAAGATTATTACGGAGGATAAATAAGTCCTACAAATCCATTTGAAATCCAAAGAGAAGTAGGCAAAGACACAAGTAGTCCTTTCACCATGAGAAAATATTAGTGGAGAAAATATTAGTTCATAAACACGTGAGAAGAGGCTCAAGCCCATTAATAGAGAAATGCAGCCTGGGGCCGCAGCGGGCATCGTTGAAGCCTCCTCTATTTGTGACCCTAAACAATAAGACATAGAGGAGAGTAAGGAGGACCAGGGAGACACACCCGCTGAGTGTAGACGCATAAATCGGAATAGTCACCCTGGAAATGCTTGGTATTTCTCAAAAAAAGTTGAGCGTGTTTCTACCCTGTGTGCACTGCTGTGCTAATGCTGCGGCACCGCTTCTCACGCGCTACATGCGACGGAATTCCTTAAACATGGGTTATCGGACTCTAACCCTGAGCGTCTAATTCAGGGATTGGGGCCTAAGAATTTGCACTAAAAGGGGCGCCTGGGTGACTCGGCTGGTTGAGCATCTGCCGTCACTCAGGTGGTGATCCCGGCCCCGAGACAGAGCCCCACGTGGAGCTCTCTGCTCAGCGTGCAGCCAGCTTCTCCCTCTCCCCGCTGCTCAGGCTCTCCCTCCCTCTCTCTCAAATAAATAAATAAAATCTTTTTAAAAAAACGTTTTTGGCATTAAAAGAGGCTCCCAGGGCACCTGGGTGGCTCAATCATTTAAGCGCCTGATGCTTGGTTTTGGCCCAGGTCGTGATCTCAGGGCAGTAAGTTGAGCCCTGACACAGGCTCCGGGCTCAAGGTGAAACCTGCTTAAGATTCTCTCCCTCTGCCCCTTCCTCCTCTGTCCCCTTCTCGTGCATTCTCTCTGGAAAAAAAAAAAAAAGAGATGCCCAGGTGGTTCAGCAGTTGAGCACCTGCCTTCGGCCAAGGGCGTGACCCCGGGGTCCTGGGTTCGAGTCCCATGTCAGGCTCCCTGCATGGAGCCTGCTTCTCCCTCTGCCTGGGTCTCTGCCTCTCTCTCTCTCATGAATAAATAAATAAAATCTTTTTTAAAAATCTAAAAAGTAAAAGAATTAAAATGCAGTTCCAGATGATGCTATTAGTGGGGGACCAGTCTTTTAGAACCGTGGCTACTAAGGGAACCCTCCCACTTGCCATTCAGGGCAGGATATTAACACTGTCCTGCTTGCAGCAGCACATGCCCACAGGCATCCCGTGAACTGTACACACGTGTGTGTGCTCACGTGTACATGTGCTTCGTCGTGAATCTCTGAAGTCCCGCTTCACCCCACCGTAGAGGTCTTTAGGCCGCGGCCCGGGAAGGCAGGAAAGGCCACAGCAGCCCCCACGCAGGCCCCGGGGGCACCTCCAAACCTCCACAGGCCCTGCCCGGTGGGCCACCTCAGCCGGCACGGTCACCAGACAAGGGAACATCCCGACCACCACAGCGCCCGCTCCCACGCGTGGCAGGGGGCGCACCTCAGTGTCCTGCCTGCTGCTCCCTGGCGGTGCCTCCAAAAGCTTCTCTCCTTTTTCTGCCCCAGGTGAATGCTTTCAGCACCTGCGCCCCCAGCTTCCACCCAAGGGTTGCCCCATGTGGGGCCCCTCTCCAACCAACGGACCCCATGTGGGCGCCCCATCCACCACCTACGGGCCATTTCCCTGCTGTCCAGCCCTACAGCCGGGGTGGAATCACACTCAGGACTTGAGTGACGGGGGAACAGTGACTGGTCTCATCTCTCTTCTGACCCTAAGGCACGCATCACCCCTCGCTTCCTCCCCATTGCTCACAACCACTTCTCAAGGCGCCTCCAAGCTCCTCGTTGCCCTTCGGTGACTGTAGGCCTCAAAATCAACACCGAGTCATGCACAAAGCTCCACGTGTGGGCAGACGGACGCTGCATTAACACCTCCTTCCCACCAGATCAATAGGCTTATTAGAAGGATGAACTCGGGTATCTACCATGATTATTTTTGTAATCTGGTCAGTTAATAAATGACTACTTTCAAGTGGAAAAATAGAAAAATAAAAAATAAATAAAACCTTCCCTGGTTACTACAGACACGTTGGGACAGTAGAAAAAGTGTTTTTGCAACTATGTCGTTAACAACTACGAACTTTATTAGAATTCCCAGGAACGTTTCACACACGATGCTTAAGATACACCTAGAAAGTTGGCCCTCAGGGACTAAAACAATGGCCTTCAAGCTTTTCTCTTGGATCCAGCCCTTGAAACTTCCTTCGTGTTGTTGTCCATTTAGCTTATTTTATCATCATTCTCTGACCTCTGTGCTTTATAATCTTCATAAAATGAATGAGTCACCAATGATGTTCAAGCGACAGATCAAGAGTCCAGCAGGACCAAGGTGCCTGGATGGCTCGGCCAGTTAAGTCTCCAACTCTTTATTCCGACTCTGGTCAGGAGGTTGGATGTGAGACCGAACCCTGCGCTGGGCTCCTCCCTCAGCAGGAAGTCTGCTTGTCCCTCTCCCTCCTCCTCTGCCCCTCCCCTGCTCACTGCACAAGGTTTCTCTAAAATAAATAAATAAATAAATAAATAAATAAATAAATAATCTCTCTCTTTTTTTTTTAAGATTTATTTACTTATTAGTAAGAGACACAGAAAGAGAGGGAGGCAGAAGCAGAAGCGGGCTCCATGCAGGGAGCCCGACATGGGACTCAATCCCGGGTCTCCAGGATCAGGCCCTGGGCTGAAGGTGGCGCTCAACCACTGAGCCACCCGGGCTGCCCTAATAAATAAATCTTTAAAAAAAAAAAAAAAGAGAGAGAGAGAGAGAGTTCAACAGGACCAGACAAGTAGAGAGACCTAAGGCAGATCACCAGACCTCTTCCAGATTTATCTGTATCCACGAACGTACTCTCTGGTTACAGCCATCCAGCTGGGCATTAATCCTCCTTCACGTTTTTCCATTTTTCCATACGAACATTAAAGGAAACTATTACGGGGGCCCCGGGGTCTCAGTCAGTTAGGCACCCGACTCATGGTTTCGGCCCAGGTCATGATCCCCAGTCACGCTCTACACTCAGCAGAGTCTGCTTCCAGGTTCTCTCCCCCATCCTACCCCCACTCACATGGGTCTGCGTTCTCTCTCAAATAAATCTTTAAAAAAAAGAGAGAGAGAAACTATTACATAGTTTCTATAGATTCCCCTATATGTTACCACTATAGGGGATCCCTGGGTGGTTCAGCGGTTTAGTGACGCCTTCGGCCCAGGGCATGACCCTGGGGTCCTGGGATCGAGTCCCGTGTCGGGCTCCCTGCATGGAGCCTGCTTCTCCCTCTGCCTGGGTCTCTGCCTCTCTCTCTGTCTGTATCTCTCATGAATAGATAAATATAATCTTTAAAAAAAAAAAGTCACCATTATAATCTAAAGGGAATGAGCACGTAGCTCCGAGGTCTCTCAGCCCGGGACGCCACTGGGACACCACTGATGGCGTCTGGCACCATGACGAGGGCCGCCTGCAGGGAAGACAGGAGGAGATGCTGGGTAACCTCTTCCCGGTGACTCTGTGGGGTCGCTGTTCCTGCCCTGGGCCGCCTGTTGCCAGAATCCTTGTAACTGGGACAGAAGTGAACTGTTTCATGTAAGGAAAGAAAGAGGCAGGGTGCGGGGAGATGACTCCAGGGCCCTGGAGTGACCCTAAAGCCAGGATACAAGCTGGGAGAGAATGAAGCCAAACGACACGGTATTTTTTTTTTTCTCCAAACGAATTTAATTCTCTTCCAGCCCCAAAGAAGGGGAAGGACCTAAAGTTTAAAAACAAAAATTGCAGCAAAAAAAAAAAAAAAAAATACACAAGCCATTAAAAAATTAAGTCCCCTCCCTCAGCAATAAATACTGAAATGATATATACACAGGAGCCCGGGAAGGAGGCGAGAATAGGGGCCCGGGCCTCGGTCCCGGCGGCCCCACGCGCTGCCGACACCGCTCCTTGCCTGAACCATGGGGGGCACAGGAGGCGGCAGCAGAGGCGGGCACAGGCTGGGGGCCTCGAGCACCCCGCCGGCAGGGTCTCTGGGGCGCTGCGGCTGGCCGAGCCGCTCAGGGCCCGTCCTCGCAGCCGCGTCCAGGCCGGTCACTCGCACTGCGGCCGTGATGCCACGGTGGCCGCGGCCTGACTGCTGGGGCCCTGAGGCTTCCCGTTCACCACAAGCAGCACAGGGGTCTCCACGCGGACGCTGGCAAAGGAGAAGTCCTGCGGGAGACAAGCACACGGAGGTCCACCTCGGGCCCCCCGCCCCGGCCCCCCAGCACCCCTCAACAGGGCAAAGTAAGCAGAGGGATGGGACTCCCCATGCTTCCCAGCTTCAGAAGGAAACGTCTGCGGCGGGGGGGTGGGGGGGAGCCAGTGATTCCACGAGAATGGGACAATTCTCTGAAAAAAGGCGGGCCCGGCACAGCCCGACCCTCGGGTGCCCCGGCCTCCACACCGTGGGCCCGTCCCCAGCGTTTCTCGGCAGCGGAAGCCAGGGACACGGGGCACCCGCTGGCTCAGCCGGGGCAGCGGGACCCCCAGGGCCACCCAATAATGAGGCCCTGACCCCAAGACTAGACACGCGGCCGCCACGAGGCCACTCAGTCCAAGTGTCCCCAAGGCCAGACATTAATGCGCCAGATGTAAATTCAAGCCACTTCTCGTATCAGAAGGAAGACAGAGAAGACACAGTGCAGACATTCTGATAACAGAAAGCTCCCTCTAGCACTTCAAATGTGCTTTAAGTCATGAAGTTCTAGGACTTCAAGTTTTATGACTTTAGTTATGAAGTTTTATCACTTGAAGTCATAAAGTAATAAAACACGGTAAAAGATCTCCATCCAAAGCATATTGTCCCACTCCTGGGAGTGTGAAGGCATGAATTAAAGAGACCTCATAAATCAAAATTTTTTGACATCCTACCAGGAACACGGGCAGTGACCAAAAAAAAAAAAAAAAAGCCAATTTATATAAGGGCCTGGAGTGACCCTAATGCCAGGATCCAAGCTGGGAGAGAATGAGAGAATTCCTTATATAAGGAATATAAATAGCCAATAAACATAGGATAAACTAGTCAACCTCAAATATAATCAAGAAACCAAAGCAAGAGAGCGGTGATGCTGTGTTCTTCACGTGAAAGCAGCACCCGACGTTTCAGAGGCTTCTCTCCTGAGCTGAGACGACTCGGGCAAGCCGCAGCACACACCTCTAGGGGGAGGCACGGCCTCCCAGGACCAGGCGGCAGCACCGGAGTCCCAGCCCCCACGCCCTCTGGAGCCTGAACACCTCAGAAGTTCACGGAAGTAAATCATCCCGGATTTGGACAGGTGCCCGCTCCGGCGCTGGATGCCTCTACAACAGGGAGAGTGTAGAGACGGCCTAGATCCAGGGGCATCAAACTGTCTCCCGTAGGCCCTGGGGTCGTGCGGCCACCACCAAGGACTCGTGCCCTCCGACGCCGTGGCCCGGGAAGCAGCTGTGCGAGCCCAGCTATGCTCCCAAAGGAGTTCACTTGTGGACGCTGACGTTCAAATCTGCTGTAACGTGCAGGCTTCGCCAACTATCATCACTCCTCCAACTGTTTTCATTTAAAAATACGGACACACTTGTCTCGCCAGCCACACAGGATAGGCAGGGAGCCAGGTTTGGCCACCAGGCCGCTACTTGCCGACCCCTGATGGACACGACGAACGAGTGACCGACAGCTCCTCTTACAAGGTTTCCAGGACTATGACATGAGCCCGCACGGGCCACAAAAGCTTTCGGCACAGCGTCCCGCGGTCGTGTTCTATAAACGTGAGCCATCATCGTCATCTTCATCACCACCAGAGTGTGTGTCAATTCAAAACAAAGTTGCAAAAAAAAAAAAAAAAAACACAAATTTGCAAAAGTTGCAGAATATGTAAAAACACAGGGAATGTTCACGCCCTGGATATGATCTTCTGCTCCTCGTGCAAGTTCACGTGTGAATGTGTACATACAGATTCTTGGAAACAAGACTGGGGGCGTCCATACAGAGCTGCTAAGAGTGACAGCATCTGAGGGAGGGTATTTCAGCCCATTTAAAAAAAAAAATTTTTTTATTACGAGAACCGGCATCTGACGCTGTGTAAGTTCGAGGTATGCGACGTGCTTGTGTACTTCGCGTCTCCACTGGAAGGAGACGAGCACCAGGTGTCAGTGAGCACGTCCACCAGGTCGGAGGACTGTCGCTGGCAACAGTTAGGATCTAGCCCCTTGGCGACTGAAGTACGCAGGACCATCCTGTTGTGACTGCTGTCCTGTACGGTAGCTCTCCGGGTGTGTCTGTCCAGTCACCGCAAGTCTGCAACCTGAACAACCTCCCCAGGTGGCCCACCTCCCCCCAACCCCTGGCGACCACTGTTCCATTCCCTGTTCTCATGAGTCCAGCCTTACTAGATTCCATATAGAACTGATATCATACAACATTTGTCTTTCTCTGTCCGGTCCTTTTTTAAAATTCTTTTTAACAGTAGTTTCCCTTTTTAGTAAAAAAAAAAAAAAAAAGTGTATGCACATCATAGATCTGTGTATTGTGTATACACACATGTGTGTTCATGTATCACTTTGCATATTTGCTAAAAGACATAAATTGGTCCCGCTTTCAGAGCCTACGAGCTACGAGAAAATCCTGACCGTCACTCACTTTTCCTTTGTGCTGGATTCGGTGAAGCCGGAGGCTGGGCTCAGGGATGGCAACAGAGTCCCCAATGAGCACTCCCCAGCTCTGCACCATGTTGTACACCATCACGGCACAGCACGGTCCATCGGAGTCCACCAGGCCGAATGTGCTGCCAGGGGGAGGGAGGAGGGCCAGGAGGGGTGGGGAGGACAGCGGGCAGGAGAGAAGAGCAAAGACAGTGGTTTTAAGATACCAACGAAACGAACAGAAGCTTTCTCAGTTCCTTAGTGAGCTTGCGGCAGGCACCATCACGCACGGTGCGTGTCTGCGTCCTCACTCCTTACACGGACAGCATCTCTGGTAAAGCACAGACGCACCAGACCCGCCGGTCACTTTGCCACAAACTGGAGACGTGTGTTCACCGCGACCACTCAGCAGGTGTTGGTGACGAGCCCGCCCCAAATGCTGCGGCTGCAACGTTATTCCTGGTCCATCCACATCACCGCCACAACCGTCCCGCCCTCGCACGAGTACCTATCGTGCGTCAAGCTCCGTGCTCAGCAAGGCAACAGTGATCCACTACGAGTGAGCTCACAGTCCAGCAGGAGTCCGACCCCTCAATGGTCAAAAGTGTGAGAGGCTCCAGAACAGCTTTTCCCCTGTGCCAAGTTCAATGGGGCTGAAGCTGAGACCACGGGAACCCAGAGGAGAAATGTCCAAAACTAGAAGGCACGGAGGCTCTTCGAGGAGCCCCTTAAACTGAACGGTAAAGGATGAAAATTTATCCGGGTTACGAAAGGAAAACTAATCCTCAGTGGGAATAAAAAAACTCCAGGGGAATGGGGACAGGGATTAACCGGGGAGGACACAAGAGAACTTTCCGAGGTGCTGGTAATTCATGTTCTCTGTCTTGATGGGTGTTTGGGTCACTCACACGGGCTATGTACTAGTCAAAACTTGGCAAATATAGGGGATCCCTGGGGGACTCAGAGGTTTAGCGCTGCCTTCGGCCCAGGGCGTGATCCTGAGGACCCGGCATCGAGTCCTGCATCGGGCTCCCTGCATGGAGCCTGCTTCTCCCTCTGCCTGTGTCTCTGCCAATCTCTCTCTCTCTGTCTCTCATGAATAAATAAATAAAATCTTAAAAAAAAAAAAAAAACTTAGCAAATATACACTAAGGTTCATGTATTTCATTCTATGTAAATTTTACATAAAAGAAAACTAAACAAATCGAGCTCTAGTTAAAGACTACATGCTAAAGTATTCACAGGAAAGATACTGATCTCTGCAATTTCTTCAGCACTGCACCAAAAATAAGATGGATCAATGGATGAATTAAGGGACAGACAGATATGTGACAAACCAGCACAGTAAAATATTAGCAGAATATAGGTGGTTGGGTACAGAGATGTTCACTGCAAAATTCTTCCAATTGTATTATATGCTTGAAAATTTTTATACTAAAATGCTGGGGGGCAGGAGGGCAGGGAACATGAGCTATATCAAGAAGCAGCCAAAGAATTATCCAGACAGACACGAACTGTGTGTAAAGGTACAGAGGCATGAAAATAGCTGTTCTGAAACCTAAAAAATTAGGCCAAGAGGCTCAAGTGGGAAAGTAAAAGAAGAGAATGGAAGGAGGCAGGCAGGGAGCAGAGTACGAAGGGCTCTGCATGAGTTCCAACTTTATCCTAAAAGCAAGCACAGTAGTAGTAAGGGAAGGATTTTACGTAAGGAATGGCAGTGGTCAGCTCTGCGTCCAGCAGACGTTGCTCTGCACCGTGGAGCACTGGACAGAAACCAGGGAGCTGGAAGATGTGTCTGCGGAAGCAATGAGGTGCGAGACTGAATCTGTAGAGACAGAAAAGGAGGTGCGCACAAAACAAGTGCTGAACTGGGTGAGCGTCACGAGGCAGGAGAAAGGAAACTCGCAGTACGACTTCCAGAAACCTCTGTTACAGAACTGAGCAGACGAGCTACCACGGACTGACAAGGAAATCAGGGAGGACAAACAGTTTGGAGAGAAAGAGGAAGCAAGGGCGGCCCGGGTGGCTTAGCGGTTTAGCGCCGCCTTTAGCCCAGGGCGTGATCTTGGAGACCCGGGTTCGAGTCCCACGTCAGGCTCCCTGCATGGAGCCTGCTTCTCCCTCTGCCTGGGTCTCTGCCTCTCTCTCTCTCTCTGATGAATAAATAAATAAAATCTTTAAAAAAGAAAGGGGAAGTAAGTAATTTTGACGATACTGAGTTAGAGATTTCTGACTGGAGCCCAGAGGCAGTTAGACACAGAAACCTAGAACTTAGAGATGAGCCCCGGACTGCAGATACGCCTGTGGGCCCGGCTGAGGCAGCCGAAGCCTTCAGTTGTGTGACATCACCAAGAGATGACCGTACATGAGACGGTGAAGAACTGGCGCTCATGCCATCCCTTGGTGCACCCAAATCCCCAACCAATGCCCCAAACAAGCCCAGCATTCTCCTGGCGAATCTGATCGAGGCCTCAGAATCCTCCTACACGGTACGTTGGGCAGCCACTACCAAGTGGTAAAAGTTGGCACCCATTTGCCGTCCTGGGAAAGAGAAAAGAGCAAAGGAACAAAAACAAGAGTCCTCCTAGAACCTAACAGTGAGAATTTAAGAAAAAAGAGAAACCAAGGAGCGACAAAATATTTGTTCTCAAGGCCCCCACCTCTGTCTACATCTCCTTTTCTTCCTCTTAGGACTACGGTCTGCTCTAGGTAACTGAACTTTTCTCAACTATCCTCTTGTTCTCCAATTCCTAGGTCTCTAGAGAACGCCACACAGAGAGCTCAGGCATCTAATGGGAAGTATTTCAGTTTGGATGAGGTGGAAGGGATATGAAAGAGCACAGTGAGGGACAGGTCCGGGCGTTCTGGAGCCACGCGGTGGAAGCCACAGGAGCAGACGCAGCAATGCTAGGAAAAACCACCTCAGTAGAAAACAGAAAAAGGAAACCAGTCAGTGAGGCTTTAGGAGGTGAGTAAGGACAGGGGGTGACAGCATGGACCAAACCCTAATTTCTCAAGAGTTAAAAAATTTCCTGAACAAGGGGTGCCTGGGTGGCTCAGGAGGTTGAGCGCACAACTCATGATCTCAGGGCTGTGGTTTCAAGCCCTGCACCGCGTGGTTAAATTAATTAAATTAATATAAATTAAAATCAAACAAATCTTGGGACACCTGGGGGGCTCAGCAGCTGAGCATCTGCCTTTGGCTCAGGGCATGACCCCAAGGTTCCAGGATCGAGTCCCGCATCGGGCTCCCTGTGTGGAGCCTGCTTTCCCCTCTGCCTGGGTCTCTGCCTCTCTCTGTGAATAAATAAAATCTTTAAAAAACTAAAAAATAAAAATAAATAGACAAAATCTTTAAAAAAGAAATTTTCTAAGTAAATGATCTTGACTCATTTCCTCTGCTAGACTGTGAGCACCTTCACCCGGATCCTCTGTATTATACTCCCTACCATACAGAGAGCAGACGCTCGATAAATATTTGTTGAATAACATCTAAGACAATCTCCCCTCAGGCCTTAAACTCTGACTCAAAGCCAACCTTCCAGAACTCCCTCAGCACACCTAAATCCAAACAGGACTGAAAATTCATTCTCCTCCAAATTCTGTCATCATGAAATCACAAAGAAGCAGGATAATTTCAGAATTCCGTAACTTTCCACATGCCCGTCCGACTGCAGCTGTGATGCAGGAACCCGAGCACCGAGCTCCAGAAGACAAAGCAGACGGCAAAGCAGACGGCGGGGCATCACCCGGACCATACCGGCTCAGGGGAGCCACGGCAGGGAGAGCTCACTCACCTGCGACCCCTGAGCACGTCCTCCGCGGCAGAGAAAGGGCAGGAAGTGAGATGGGTTAGCTCCAAGAATGACAAAGAGGAAAGGGGGGGGGGGGACTCACAAGGGGACCTTCTCCTCCGTGGTGAGGCTGAACACCACCTTCCCCAGGACCACGGCTCCACTGTTCACTCCCGGCTGCAGCGCACTCAACGGCTTGAGCTCCAGGCTCAGCTTCTGCCCAGAGGCCGACTGGTAGCGCCCATCAGCACAGGGGCCCAGGTGGGCCGGGCGCAAGCTTCCCAGCATGCTCTGCAACTTTTTGGTCTTCACCTTTCCCTGCAAAAGAGAAAAAGAAAGGAAAAGTAAGAAGCTAGAACTAGTCCATCTCGCTGAGGGTCTACTCCTCCTCCCGCCTGCCCGCGTCCCTGGACAGCATCACCACTGCCAAAGCCTACTTGATTCTACTTCATGCACCCCCGAGAGAATAAAACCAGGACCCCACCCTCCGACGTCGTTACCTTGCTCTCCAGGAGGCTGGTCAGTCTACTGAGGAACTCCAGCAGCTGCTGCTCCCGCTGCTGGGGCTCTGGCCAGCCAGGGTCCAGTGCTGCAGCCCGAGAGAAGCCCTCCAGGGCCTCCCCATAGTTCTCTTCGTACTTATGTAACTGCATAAGAAGTAACCAAAAAGCTCCCGATTACGCGTGTATTTAACCCAAACTCTGCTGGGGCAGCAATGGCGCCACAGGCCAGGAACCTGCAGAAATAAACTGTTTCCCTTCCCGTTCCATGGTGACCAACCTGAAGAAACAGTAATGCTTTCCCCTCTCATCCTGCCTAAGGAGATCACAAACCCCAAAGATGGGGTCATTTCACAGAAGCTCACTCCCAAATCCTGTACAAGCCACGCCGCATGGGCCGTGTCACTCTATTTTTATACTTATAATGAACATTTCAGAAAAGTCTTCTAAGCCGTCCCTCCACCCTCTGCGTGCCCTCCCACCTCCTCGGCCCCTTCTCCTTTCCCGCCAGAGACTCCATCAGATCCCAAAGTCAAACAGCCAGGTCTTCTTCGAAACAAACCGGCTGTCCTCAGGCAAAGGAATACGCCGGTATCCGGCCAGGCTAGGCCCACGTGTCACCCGCTGGACTGTCAGACGGCCACCCGTCCACAGGTCTTACCGTTGCCCGGTTCAGATGAAGGTCAGGATTGCTGCAAGCTGTCCGGTCAACCTTCTCCTATCGTGGGAGAAAGAGATGATCAGTGGATGGCGCCTCACTCTCCGGGATGGCCGTGCCCAACACGGCCCAGGCCTCTGCCCCCTGGAAAACGTAGGTTCCATCACTGTCAAAATGTTAGCTGTACCCCTGCCCCCCGCCCCTGTTACATAGTACCTGCCTGAGTGGGGTTACTCAGCCCCTGACGCCTCCAGGAGGTAATAAGGGTTCCGTGTGTGCATAAAACTCTGACATGATAATCATTTCTCCATGCAACAGTACAGAGATAAAAGTATAAAAGCATTTTGATAAAAAAAAAAAGAAAAAGTTTTAATGGTGAGAGAATGGTAAAAATGAGGAAGGCTAGACATGTCCTCCAATACATTTCCTCTGCCCATGAGCCCGGCTCACATACAGGTACATTCAAGCCCCCTTCAAACACCCACTGAAAGTCAAATTCTGATTCTGGAATTTAAGTAAATGGGTGGCCAAACAGCACAAAGAGCAGACCGATGTGCCGTGAACAAGCTGCCAGGTCCCTGGCTACGCTCATTTTCCTTTTCTAATTACGTTCATTGCCTAGCACATTACAAAAGTACACACAACATGGATTAAAATGGTTTAAATGGTTGGTTCAAATGTGTTTAAAAATGCAGGTTTGGGGCAGCCCGGGTGGCTCAGCGGTTTAGCACCTGCCTTCAGCCCAGGGCAGGACCCCGGGGTCCCGGGATCGAGTCCCATGTCGGGCTCCCTGCATGGAGCCTGCTTCCCCCTTTGCCTGTGTCTCTGCCTCTCTCTCTCTCTCTCTCTCTCTCTCTCTCTCTCATTCATAAATAAATAAATAAATAAATAAATAAATAAATAAATAAATAAAATCTAAAAAAAAATGCAGGTTTGGGTGAAGAAATTACGAGTCAAAAGCAACAATTTGGTGGGAGCCAAATATAAAAATTTTAAAAGAGTGCACTGTTACTATTTTTTAAACATAAACATCCACCAAAGTAAAAAATTAGACTAAACTATAATTCCTAAAAAATAAAAATAAAAAAAAAATAAAATAAACTATAATTCCTCTGCCTTCAAATTCCCTGATGGAAAAAAAAAAAGTCAGTCCCTAAATGACAAACATAAATATAAGGCAGCTGCATTCTTCATTCTGCACACCAAACAAAGTAAGTAGTGGTTAAGTTAAGAAGCAACTCTCTATGTCAAGAGAAGACAGAAAGCAAAAGAAGAAAGGTGAATGCGAGGCCCAAATAAAAACTGCTCAGAGGCCAAGGGGAGCCTTCTTACAACGAGGCATCAGGAACTCCAGGCTGAAGGAAATCTCCCACATAAGCAGCTACTGAAAAACAGCCTGAAGGCCCAAGCAAAGCACGAGCTCCGGTGGATTAATCCTGACGAGATGATGTCCGATGGACTATATGCTGTTTTCTATTTTAAAGATTTTCTTTTGAATCAACCTCCACAGCCAACATGGGGCTCGAATTCACAATGCTGAGATCAAGAGTCGCATGTTCATAAAATCTTAAAAAAAAAGTGGGGGGAGGGGGGAATCCCTGGGTGGCTCAGCAGTTTGGCGCCTGCCTTTGGCCCAGGGCAGGATCCTGGAGTCCCGGGATTGAGTCCCAAGTCGGGCTCCCTGCATGGAGCCTGCTTCTCCCTCCTCCTGTGTCTCTGCCTCTCTCTGTGTCTCTCTGAATAAATAAATAAATTAAAAAAAAAAAAAAAAGAGTCGCGAGCTCTACCCACCGAGCCAGCTGGGTATTCCCACGGTCTCCAATTTTAGCCTATGGAAAAATCCAGAGCCACAGTATCTCACAGGATAAGCACTTAATTTATACATAAGCGTCAGAGCTTTCGTTTTTCTTTAAAAATGTACACAAATATTAACAGACATTATTTTAACGTGGACTCTTTTCCCATGACGAGAGATGGACATGCGGGGACAGGCTCCGTGACTCGGTCAGGAGCGCCTGCAGGAGACTGGATAGCTCGAAGACCCCTCTACCTTTCAGGTGGTGCCTAACACTGTGGTTACTGGGGAAAAAAGTCGCCCCTGCACACAGCGGAGGCCGCCAACCACGGCCCGTGCTGCTTGCAGGGCCACGCACAACGCTGACGGACGCTCTGGCCTCTGTCGTGGCCACAGTACTTACTGCTTGGGCGTAGGCACTGAGGGCCTGCTGGGAGATCTTGGGGTTCTGGCCCGTGTTGAAGTAGAGAGAAAGATACGCATTCCCCAAGATATCTGAAAGAGAAGCAAAAGGCTTCCGGTCGGCAGGGGCTTGGAGCCGCCACTGCATCCTAACGGACTGAAAACTCGGCAACATTTCCCGTCCCTGTCCACACATAGGATGTACCCAAGTCCAGGCAAACAGCGACTTCTGGCTCCGCAGGGCTGCAAGTCACAAGCTGCAGGACCCGGGGCCAAGGCAGGAAGAGCTGAACTATAACCCCCCACGAGCTGGAGGCCCAGCGTGGACAAGTCGGGGAGTCCCCAGCATGAGGAGGCCCCACAGCACCGTGAGATTCACCCCCAGAAGCTCAACCACGTCCACGGCACGCATCCGACAAAACTCCCCGATCCTGCCAACAGGGGGAAGGGGCAAAAGGACTGCTCCGAAGTATGTGGAGCACCTGCTCTTCACAAGGCCGCCGCCTAGGACACACTAGCCAACCAGCACTACTGAACCCGCAGGGGGACAACATCCCCCTGGCCGTCCCTGTCCCCGGGGCCCGGGAGCCCGCAGCTGCCGCCCACGCTAGCCATCCTGCCCCCCTCAGTGGGGGGAACCCTGGGAACACGCTGGTGAGTCATCCCGGAGGCCAGGCTCAAGATACAACCTCCCTGGGTCACCCCGAACAGTCTATTCGAAAGGCTCCACAGCTGCAAGACCCCCCAATAACACCAGATTTAGCAGCTTCCAAATGCCATGGGCCCAAGGGGCAGACGCAGACCCAGAGCAGAGTCCTGGGCATGCCGCACAACAGCCCTGCCTGGCCGACGTAGAAGCACAAGCATCGTCCCTTGGAGGAAAAGATCCAAGACCCCCTAGAACAGTGGTTCATCCAAACCCCTTCCACGCTTCCTCAAGACTAAGGTGCCCAGGCCTGACCCTCAGTATGGACTCTACACCTGGGCTCCAGACGAGTGTGGCGCGTAGCCGTGCTGAGCACCACTGCTCCAGAAACCTGCTGGAGAGCCTTTGGGAGCACTCACACCAGGAGCGGCCGTCGTGGACGTCCATCTGCACGGCCAACTTGGCCTGGTGGACGCTGTCCATTACGTGCCGAGAATGTTCATCTCCGGTGTCGGCCCGCAGCTGGCGCAGCACCATGGACAGGTTCTGAAGCGACACTTTATTCTTGCACTGCAAATGCAGAAGACATACTCAACCCTCCTGACTCTATTTCCCCTTTCCAGATCTTTCCTATCGTACATAACCTTGCAAATCCAATTTTTCATCTTGGTTCTTACAGTCATCTCTACACGTTCGGCCCCCCTCTACAAGGATCAGCTTGGTTGTTAATTTGTATTTATGAATTGTATTAATTTGGTTGATTCTCCTCTATCCCTGAACCTGATGCCATCGTCTTCTTCCTTCCTCGGGCCCATCCCTGTTTTCCTCAGCAGCAGGTCCGCCCCCCTCTCCCCCTCCCCTCTGATTCCGTTCTCCCGGTTCCAGTACAGTTCTGTTCTGGGATGCGTATCCTGGGGAAAGTCACGGAACCAGAGGAGTCTCAGCCTTCCCATCTGTGCTTCCCGAGGGGTAGTAGACGGCTCACGTGGGTGAGGGCTCCCGAGAAGCAGGTGTGGGCGGCCGCAATATCCCCTTTCTTCCAGTACACCTCACCCAGCTGGTTCCAGGCTTCCACCAGCTTGGGTTCCAGCTTCACAGCCTTTGACAGAAGCTCCTCAGCCTTCGGGCTGTAGTCAGGAGTCACATTCAGTGCCTTCCCAGTCAGCATCAGCACCTGTGCCTTGCCCTGGACAGAACCTAGGAGGAAGGGGAAGGCAGAGGAGGTTGGGAAGACCAGGACACTTCCTCTCAAGAAGCCACCTCAGGTCAGCCCTAGGAGTGAAACAGCGGAAGAAAACCCTGGGAACAAAGCACTCACTGATCACCTACCATCCGCAGGCCCCTCCCACGGTAGGCAACAGGGTGGCGACCGGAGCACTCTCCCTGCCTTGGAGGGGCCTACAGTCTAGGGGAGAGGATAGGGCATAATCGCGCAATATTAAAACAACCATGAAATACCCAATGAATGCACCCAGCGAACGGGCTTTAAAGAGCGAAAAGGAGGGGCACCTGGACGGCTCCGTCGGGTAAGCGTCCAAGTCCTGATTTCAGCTCAGGTCATGGCCTCAGGGTCGTGAGATCAAGCCCCACATCACACTCCACGCTCATCAGAGAGTCCACTTGGGATTCTCTCTCTCCCTCTCCCTCTGCTCCTCCTCTAACCCCTGTGCTTGCTCTCTCTCAAATAAAAAGATAAATCTTTTAAAAAATGTTTTTAAAAAAAATGAAAAAAAAGGGCAGCCCAGGTGGCTCAGCGGTTTAGTGCCGCCTTCAGCCCAGGGCATGATCCTGGAGTCCCGGGATCGAGTCCCACGTCAGGCTCCCTGCATGGAGCCTGCTTCTCCCTCTGCCTGTGTCTCTGCCTCTCTCTCTCCCTCTGTGTCTCTCATGAATAAATAAATAAACAAAAAAATTATCTTTTAAAAAAAAAATGAAAAAAATATAAAATAAATAAAAATTCTAAAAAAGTGAAAAGGAGAAAAGACAAGACCCTCTGGTTAAGAAAATGATGTACACAAAGACAGCGAGGCCGAAAGCCATGCGGCACGCTCAAGGGAGAATGGACACCCAGCCTGAAAGGCCTCACTTACAGCTCCTCTGGGGGGGAGGGGGGGGGACGGAGGGAAATACGGACAAAAATGGTCAGACGGTGGAGACTGGAGCACCGAGTTAGGGCACGAAGACTGCAACCAGTCAGTAGCAGGAATCTCCAAATAACATGAGCAGCGAGGCAGGCACGAGGGAAGACTCCACGCAGGAGGTAACGTTTAGAAATTTAATGGCATGATCAGTACATACATGAATTTGAAGTAAAAGAACTTGGAGGAAGAAAGGTCAGCTAAGAAGAACAGCTTAGGGCGTGCCTGGGGGGGGGGGGCTCAGATGGCGGAGGGTCTGCCTCCAGCTTGGGTCACGATCCCGGGGTCCTGGGGTCAAGCCTCACGTCAGGCTCCCTGCTCAGCGTGGAGCTGGCTCCTCCCTCTGCCGCTGCCCACCCTGCTCGTGCTCTCTCTCTCTCTCTCTCAAATAAATAAAATCTTTAAAAAAAAAGAAGAAGAAGAAGAACAACAACAACAACAACAGTTTGGAGGCATCTGGGTGGCTCCGTCAGTTGAGAGTCCATCCCACTCTTGGTGTCAATTCAGGCCATGATCCTGGAGCCTGGACACGGAGCCTCGAGGGGGGCTCCACGCTCAGCCTGGGGGGAGTCTACTCCCCTTCTTCTCCCTTGGCCCCTACCCTGCTCTCACGCGCACTCTCTCTCTCCCCATCTTAAATAAGTAAATCTTAAAAAAAAAAAAAATAGTTTAAGCAACAGGTATGTTATGTCGTGCCATTGCTGTCATCAAACTTCAGGCAATGTCGTTGGAGGACCCAAAGGCAGCCGGCCACAGGGGCGCTCGGAGGACGGGCTCTGCTGAGCCTCCGCGGCAGAGTTTCGGAAACCAGAGGGTCCACAGAAAGAGAGCAAACTCCTGCGTTTCGGCGAAGGGCAGGGGTCGCGGGCTCCTTGCCCCTCATACCCACGACTTCCTCCATCCGCTGCAGGGTCTTCTCCATCTCCTCCCGCACGTCCCGCTGCTTCCTTCCAGCATCCTCGACACCGTGGGTCTCGAAGTAGCACTCTCGAAAGGAATACAGCTGATCCACCAGGTCCTAGGAGAGTAGGAACAGTGCTGGTGCCGTAGGAGGAGAGCAGCCGGCCCGGGGCGGAGTGGGCTAGCCCTGCGGCTCCCGCCTAGCAAGCCGACCCCTACCCCGGGACGGACAGACAGACGGACGGACGGACGGAAGGACGGACGCCACGGGTCATAAAGGAAGTGGCCGGGTCCCAGCGCCCACCCCTCCCCCGCGGCCACAGCTCCTCCCATCCCGGCGCCAGCAGGGCCTCCAGCAGGACTACACCCCTCGGCAGCCCACACGCCAGGGGGCAGATGCTTTGCAACTTGAGGTGAAACGTCATTAAGATAACCCTAGGTTCCTGGTCCCCAGAGCACCAAACCTTGAAATTCACCCTTAAACCCAGACATGCTAACAAAAACAATCTTACCCCTGGTTTTGCCTGTGCTGGTATCTGGAAATACATGGCCTTTGTGGTCATGAAAACGCGGGAGAGCCACTGCTTTCCGCGGCAGGGACCAATTTAAGTTTGAGAACCTTGGTGTCCTTACAGGATCGTTTGCTTAAACACTCGTGGTTTTTTTGTTTTGCTTTTGTCATCTGTTGGCTCTCTTGCCTTCGTCCCAAGTAAATGCTCCATTTCCTATTTTAAATACCTGTGTCCGAGCCCTCCTGTGCACCAAAGCTTTTCCATTATCTATTCTCTCCTAAAATGGACCAGTTGCAAAAATATGTAACACAATTCCTTGTCATCCTAACTACCTCTGCAGCCCCCACCCCGCCCCCGGGCCGTGATGGACCAAATCAGCCCCGTGGTCCCACCGCTGCAGGGGCCTCTCGCCTTGTTTCTAACCCCCCCCATTCCCCGCCCTGTAGACACAATGACCCTACCAAGGTGTTCGCCACGGCCCACGCTCTCCGATCCCCAGACTGGCAAAGGTCTACCTCCTACCGCAGCCTGAAGACTGTAGGATCCAACCTGGCACTCTGCAGGCGGCCCCAAACCCCACCTGGCACCTCCCTTCTTCAGCAGCCAAGGCACCGGCCTTCCCTGCGTCCCCAGACCCAGCACGCTCAGCCCACCTGTGTGTGGGGGGGGCTGCCCTCGGCCTCCCTCCCTGTCCTCACCTAGACCTCGGTGCCCTTAACTTCAGACCCCACCCGGAGGAAAAGGCCGAGCAGAACCCCCTGTAGCAGCAAGGTGGCTCCGGGGTATTACTGTTGGGCCTCAGGCTGCAGATTCTGACTTCAGAAGCGTCAGCAGAACTCAGACACCCTTGCCAAGCGCCCCAGGTGACTGCGGGGGGGGGGGGAAACGGTCCCTAAAACACGCTGAGAGAAACACTCTTTTATTACACTCCTTCTGCCCTAAAACGACCACGAAATCCGAACGTAGCGCCAGTCCCACGGACCAGCAAGGCCCGTGTCCTCCTCCCCGCTGCTGGGTCCCTGCAGCACCCTGCCCGCCCCCCAAGACGCCTGCGCCCCCGGCCGAGCCCACGTAGCACAGATGGGCCCAGGAAGGCAGGTCTCAGGGGGACGCACCTGGTGCCCCCCAATCAGCTTGGCTGCATGTTGGGGATTCTAGGGGGTCTCACGGCCTGTTTTCCCGCCGTGAAAGCAAATATGCATGAAATTGTGTGGCTTTGTTTTGTTTTGCTGCAGTGAACGTTCTTGTCTAGTGGAAAAAATCAACATAAGTAAGTTGCTAAAATTCAAACAGGCACGCGTGAACCCACAGAGCTAAAACTCCTTCTCCTCACCCCACGCGGCGGGGAGAACCCCACGGAGGGCGTCCGCAGCCCTTGTTCTACACATTCACACACAAACACACGGTGTTTGTAACGCAGACGGGGCCTGCGCCTGGCCTGGGGAACGAGATTAAGGAAATCCAGGTCAACTGGAGGAGAAATGCAGGCCACGCTCTAAGGGTGTTCTTTGAACATGTTCAAGAGACAGACAGGTGTCCCCCTGCGCGGGCCTCTGCGCCCGAAGCTCCAGGCAGGTGCCAGCCGGCCGGGTGTGAGTCCGCTGCAGGCCGGGGGCCAGGGGCACGGGGGGCATGCACTGGGGTGCGGCGCGGGGTCGGAGCCCCACACCAGTACGGAGGTGACAAATACCCACAACTGTAAAAAAAATAAAAATAAAAATAAAAACTACATTCTGGGCTGTCCTAGAACACACGGAACTGAGTTTCTGAGGTTTAAGGACAATCTTGGTCCTGGGCAGAAGGTGAAGGGCCGGCACCCAGGCAGCGCCCACCTGCCAAGAACCACGGGAGCCGCGAACCCGGAACAGGGCGGGGGTCGCCCCGCATCACCCCCTGCGGGGGCCCGAGGACAAGAACCAAACCCGGGGAGTCCTGAGGGCAGTGACCAGGCTACGACGGGGCACGCGGTCATCAAGCTGCCCACGGCGGGGGAGCAGGGCGAGGAGGTGGCCCCCGTGGGAACGGGGACGCCAGTGGGAAGGAGGACCCCGCGGCGACAGCTGCTGCGCACCCCGACCCGCGGCGCCCGGATGGGCGAGCCCAGGGAGGAAACAACCCCGAGAAGGAGCAGGACAAAGTCAGGGGCCAACAGCGTCCTGTACCCGCGAGTGAACCAAGTGACCCGGGGCAGCAGGGGGTCCCCAGGAGCCGGGAGACCCGGGGAGGGGCGGGGGGTCCCAGGAGCCGGGAGACCCGGGGAGGGGCGGGGGGTCCCCAGGAGCCGGGAGACCCGGGGAGGGGCGGGGGGTCCCAGGAGCCGGGAGACCCGGGGAGGGGCGGGGGGTCCCAGGAGCCGGGAGACCCGGGGAGGGGCGGGGGGTCCCCAGGAACCGGATGACCCAGGGAGGGGCGGGGGGTCCCAGGAGCCGGATGACCCGGGGAGGGGCGGGGGGTCCCCAGGAACCGGGAGATCCGGGGAGGGGCGGGGGGTCCCCAGGAGCCGGGAGATCCGGGGAGGGGCGGGGGGTCCCCAGGAGCCGGGAGACCCGGGGAGGGGCGGGGGGTCCCCAGGAGCCGAGAGACCCGGGGAGGGGCGGGGGGTCCCCAGGAGCCGGGAGACCCGGGGATGGGGGGGTCCCCAGGAGCCGGGTGACCCGGGGAGGGGGGTTCCCCACGAGCCGAGTGACCCGGGAAGGGGCGGGGGGTCCCCAGGAGCCGAGTGACCCAGGCAGCCGGGCTCCCTGCCCCCCCTCCCCTCCCCCTCCCCCCCTCCCCCCTGCACCGCCGCCGTCCTCTCCCCCCGCCCGGCCCACCTGCAGCGCCTCCAGGCCCCGCCGCCCGCCCGCGTCCTGCTCGGCCATCGCGTCCCCGCCGCCCGCCCTCCGCGACCACAGAGACCGGCCCGTCCGCGAGCACCGCGCCCCCTGGCGGCCCGGAGGCCCCGCTGCAGTCGGCGGTCCCGAAGCCCGGAGCCCGGAGCTGGGCGGGGCGGGGCGGGGCGGGGGGGCGGGGTCAGCTATGCAAACCCCTTCTTTTTTTTTTCTTCTTTTTTTTTAATAAATTAATTTTTATTGGTGTTCAATTTACCAACATACAGAATAACACCCAGTGCTCATCCCGTCAAGTGCCCCCCTCAGTGCCCATCACCCAGTCACCCCCACCCGCCGCCCTCCTTCCCTTCCACCACCCCTAGTTCTGCAAACCCCTTCTTGAATCAAAAAACATGCATATGGACTGATTATGCATTTGCCAGACCCAAGGGATGACTTCCGATTGCAAGAAAACACCGGCGTTCTTATAGGATCACTCTATACGGTTATAACATAAATACACTATTTATTGTGAAAAGGCATAAATGTCCTTTCTAGACAACTCGCCATTTATCCATCATGCACAGGGATTACATCTGTAAGGCCCTAGAGGAAATAGGATTCTTGAGGGAAAACAGCCAAATCCAAGGCCTCATCGAGGAAAAACATGGATAGTAGACAATGAATTCTACAGAGGACAAAGGCCCTAATTTCACATAACTTAAGCCCATTAGTCCCTGACAGGGTTCTCTACACAGAGTTTCTCAGTGAGCGAGGAGCAAATGGACTGACTGGATAAATTGGCAACTATGGAGCTGCCTGACAGCAGTATAAATGGTAATTCACAGGATCCTGATAAATCTGCTACACTTGGGATGGTATCATGAAAGCCGTGATTAATAAACGAATAGTTTAGCAGTAAAAACCCCCAACATATTGATAGACTATCTATCTAGAAGGATACATAAGAAACAATGACTTCTCTGTAAAGGGAAAGGGGGACCAAGAGTTGTCAGTAGGCAAAGAAAATTATTTTGCTGTGTACACGTTTGAACTCATCATGTACACGTACCACCTATTTAAAAATAAACATAATTTTTCGATAAAATACTAGTTGCTTTCACACAGATTATCTCTGAAAGAGATGCCAGATACTGACAACAGTAGTTGCTTTCAGAAAAGTGAAGCGAGGGACTGGGGGACAGAGGTGAAAGGGAGACCTTATTTATTCTGTGCCTGTTTTTTTTCCACCTTTTGAATTTGTGACGTGAATATATTAAACTCTACAATAAGTAACTTTTTAAAAGTAGCATGTAATAGTCCTAATAGTCTCTCTTTACCTTTTAATTATAGCTTACTTATATTTCAAACTAATCCTGAGAACCAAACACAAGAAGCAAAGGTGCAAGGCAGAAATCATGAATATACCTAAAATTATTTCCCCACACCATTTTTTCAACAAAATTTAAAACTGCATAGAGAAAAACACTTTGTAATGTCATCTATAAAATCTGTATCAACAAGAAGGGGAGGTGGGCGGGGGTGGGGGTGATAGGCACTGAGGTGGGCACTTGACGGGATGAGCATTGGGTGTTATTCTATATGTTGGCTAACTGAACACCAATAAAAAATAAATTTATAAAAATAAAAAAATATGTATTAAGAGATACTATGAATTAGGAAGAGATGTTTTAAAACTTGTAGGTCAACATGATGAAATGAGCACTGGGTGTTTTATGTTGGCAAATTGAATTTAAATAAAATATTTAAAGATTTTTTTCAAAATAAACTTTTAAGTCAAGATTTTTCATCCTCTTTCTCAGACACCATTTTAACTTTGAGATACAGTAAAAAATGTTGAAGAGATTTTATATTCTATACTAAGGAAGAAAACCTTACTTACTATCCAATTATGTAAAGCAAGGATAATAACTTGCCTTTCTAGGACTATAAAAGATCCTCAAATGCTTACCCAAATGACAATGGGATTTAGTATTTAGGGTAATTCCACTGTAATTACTCCCAAACCAATAAAAATAAATAATAAAATTTGAGAGTTAGAAAAGGTTTACAGGATAATTTAATCCAGTCCCTCATTTTACAGATTTAGAAACAGTCTCAGAAAGTTTAACTTAAACTCATAACCAATATATGGGAAAACAACATAATTAGAACCCAGATGTCCTACTTCTGCAACAGGTATGCTTTTAAGATTTATTTGAGAGTGTGTGAGCCCAGAGGGCGGGGGTGGCAGAGGGAAACAGGAATCCTAAAGCAAACTCCTCGCTGAGCAAGGGGCTGAGATCATGACCTGAGCTGAAATCAAGAGTCCCACACCTAACCAACTGAGCCACCCAGGTGCCCTGGCTCTACATTTTAAATAAGGTATTTGTGATAGTGGTCAGAAATGCTATTTAATAAAGGAAAACAAGGGCAGCCTGGGTGGCTCAGCAGTTTAGCACCGCCTTCAGGCCAGGGTGTAATCCTGGAGACCCGGGATCAAGTCCCACTTCGGGCTCCCTGCATGGAGCCTGCTTCTCCCTCTGCCTCTCTCTCTCTGTGTCTCTCATGGATAAATAAAGTCAAAAAAAATTTTTAATAAAGGAAAACAAATAAATCTTTAAAAGTATTTTAATTAACATAATCTCTTGAGATCAATAACATATTGTTGTTTTCTATGGTAAAAGTACATTTCTAAGTAAGTAGGTTCAAGACAAAAAGATAGTCATTTCATTTTAAAACAAATGCCAAAAAATCAACTTATAAAATAACTTTATTAAATAGAAATACAGACAACATACAAGCGTCAAATTGTCTTCTTATTCGCCCACATGAGCGTACCTCCAAACAAATTAATACAAGGGCAAATACATACAAATAGATAAACATATCCAAATAACAAGCTGTAGATTCACCTGCCATTTCCTGAGACCAAAATCTTCACATAAATATACTTGCAAATCCAACAAAATATCAATATAAAGGAATATACATATATACATATATGCATAAATACCAGAACACAAAGTGACAAGCAGACATGTAACATAGGTGCTTATATACATAAACACCTAGTTTAGTCAGAAATAACATAGAAAACAAATGGTGATCCACAAAACACGTAATAATATTTTAACATTTTCACTACAGGTGAAAACTCAACAATTCACAATAAAGGTGACTTTAATATAATGCTCATGCATTAAATAATGGAAACAGGAAAAGAAACCAGACTCTAAAGCCACTCCTACCGACACTGAGTTTCTCCTAAGTTGAAAATGTAACAGCACACAGAGGTCGGTGACTCCTAACTAGAATAAAAGATTATTTGCTAAATGAGATCACTGATAGTGAAGAGAGAAATACTTTGTAAAGTGAGCTAAATTCTTTTTACTTTAAAGGCCCTGCTAGAGATTTGCTGCTGTTCTAACTCACGACTTGGGGAGGCAAAACTAAAAAAGCTGTTGCTGGGTTCCGGTGCTGTGGGAGAAGCCACAAAAAATGGTCTGAACTGAAAATCTCCATCTCCGCCACCCCGATTTCGTACTGGTGTACCATCCAGAGGGAATTTGGAGTTGTTCCCTAGTTTAAAAATAAGGGGGGAAAAGTAAGCATCTATTTCCTTACAGATCTTTAGGAACAAAAACACAAAATTCATTTAATAAATATTTTAACAGAACTCAATTCCTATGAAACAGTAAAATATAAACCTAATGTTGGGTAAAGACAAGGACTATAATGGCTCCCACTCCCTCCCATGACCACAGTATATACGATACCTTCTGCTCCGATGCAGTTTCCAATAATGAGCCATGACCTCATCACCAAAAGTAATGACACAATGAAATACATTTTTAGTAAAGCTAGAACTTACAATTCATAATTTTATTCGTTATCTGTGTGATCTATTTCAAAGGAATATTGTATGCACATAGAATCTTTTGTCCCAGGTTAAGAATAATTTTTCTTTTAAAGACTGCCATAAACATGCTAGAAAATATATGACAACTGTGAGAAACTGGCATATACTCATGATGCAAGAATAACCTTAAGAAAAATCAGACAACAGATCTGATTAAATTAGCACTTCCACTGAGCCATTCTTTGGCTTCTACAAGTTTTAAAGGGAACGTGTAATTAAAGGAGAATGTGGACTATACCTGCTTCAAGCCAACAAATGTAGCAACAAGTAAAAGTAAAAAGGTAAGTGTGCATAAAAAGTGGAACGAGAAAGAACTAGTGAATATGAAAGAAATAAAAATAAATGTGAATCATGTAACAAGGAAAAAATACCTATAATGTTAATATACAATAACACATTGAAAGACTAAATTACAATTATGATTAACTGAAAGTTAAGCAAAAATCTGTTTTTGTTTCAGTTCTTATATCTGATACTCATCTCATTACTTCCTGCCTTTTCTAGGACATCTCCTCCCCTACCAAATCTTTTTCCTCAGCCTATAATTTAAAAAATGCATTTTTAGGAAAATCAAGTACAAGAAACTTCACTTTTTTATATGCAAAAATAATTTATATTAATAGCATAGCAAAAATCTATTGGAATCTGTTGTATCAAGAGTAGTATAAAGAGGAGAACTCAGGAAGAGATGTGTATGAGCTCACTGCATTCGCCAAAGCATCTAGTGAGCAGGAAAGAAGTGGTATCTTCCTAGATGGGCACTTCCAGAAGGCAGGAATTCTATCTGGATAATCCTTATACTCTCACTGCCAAGATTATGTCTAGCCGCCTACCAAATGAAGTATGTTTGATGAATATTTGGTGAATGATTACACAAAAGTGAACCAACCAACCAACAACTTAAGAACTGTGCAATCAGTATTGCCATGTGAGAGAAACTGAACATGGCCTTCTTGAGGAAGGAAATGGGGTTGAGTGTGAGCTCTGAAGGTAGTTCTGTGACCTTGATCGATTTACTTAAACTTTCTGTGTCTCAGTTTTCTCATCTGTAAAATAAAGATAATAACAATAACTACATCATAAAGTTCTGAAAATAACATGAAAAAAATTGTAACTGTGGCTAGCACAGTAAGGAATCAATAAATGGCAGCTAATATTATTATTATTACTGCAAGGAAATAGCTTTTCACTTAAAGCACCAATTTGAAAACTTTTACTTTGGAGAGATTTACTCTCTGTTTACATTGAAGATGTAATTTAACCACAAGTCAATAAAATAGACAAAAGCAAAGATGTACATGCTGGGACATGGATGAAGAATCTGGAGCTGGGGGGCAGCCCAGATGGCTCAGTGGTTTAGTGCAGCCTTCAGCCCTGGGCCTGATCCTGGAGACCTGGGATCAAGTCCCACGTTGGGCTCCCTGCATGGAGCCTGCCTCTCCCTCTGGTTGTATCTCTGCCTCTCTCTCTCTCTGTGTGTCTCTCATTAATAAATAAATAAAATCTTTAAAAAAAAAAAAGAATCTGGAGCTGGGACGCCTGAGTGGCTCAGCAGCTGAGCGTCTGCCTTTGGCTTGGATCATGATACTGGGATCCTGGGATCGAGTCCCACATCAGGCTCCCTGCAGGGAGCCTGCTTCTCCCTCTGCCTGTGTCTCTGCCTGTCTCTCTCTCTCTCTCTCATGAATAAATTTTTTAAAAATCTAAACAAACAAACAAAAAAGAATCTGGAGCCTACCACCACTGTAGGCCTCTGGAGTCTCCACTGCCTTCCTGGAACTACACAGAACACAACGTGAAAGATTTAAAGGACAGTTATTGGATATTATATGCCCCTTCTTACCTAATGGAAAGCCAAAAACACCAGATTGTGCAATCATGGATGGTTCAAGGGTGCTTTCTTGGTTAGCAATACTGATGTTTCGCAGCCTAAGGCTATCATAGAGGCCTTGGAGCTTTTGATACTGACGATTTCGCTCCATAAGTTTCTCAGAGATGTCACTGAACTTTTTCTTATATTCTTCTAGCACTTTCTTCATGGAGGTGACCTCCCCCTTCATAGAGGTCAATTCAACATCCTTGCTCTGTATTTGCTGAGTATATATCTTCTCCATCTGTTTCAGATGGCCCTCAGCCTTGCTGAAATTGTATTCCTGATAGAGACGCTCCTGATGTACCTGTCTCAAAAGAGAAAAAAAAAAGTAATAAATACAAAGTTACATATTATAAACCTTTAAATGCAAAAGGAAAAGAAAGACTTACACACTGGGATGTTATTAATTTAATATTTAGAACCAGGTTAAGAAGCAATCTAGATGTATAGCAGGATGGTTATTCTGGAAAATAATACAGTGTCACTTAAATGCATAGGAAAAAATTCTGGGGGAATACTCTCAAACTGTGACCATTATACTAACAAAAGAAGTATACTTGTCTAACCTTAACAACTGACATGTAGTCTTAAGGTTTTTTATTTTTTATTTTATTTTTTATTTTTTTATTTATGAGAGAGAGAGAGAGAGAGGCAGAGACACAGGCAGAGGGAGAAGCAGACTCCATGAACCGGGAGCCCGATGTGGGATTCGATCCCGGGTCTCCAGGATCGCGCCCTGGGCCAAAGGCAGGCGCCAAACCGCTTCACCACCCAGGGATCCCCTTAAGGTTTTTTAGAGATAATTTCCTATTTCCAGTAATCCTGAGTGTGGAGAACAGATTATAAAAGAGCCTCCACTTATCCCTGCCTCCTTTACACAGATCCTCCCCTTGAATGTGGACAGAAACTATGACTAGAATACAGGAAAAATGACAGGATGCTGCTACATGAGTACATTACATAAGACTACAAATAAAGTCTGCCTTAATAGTGCGCTCTCTCTCTTAACTGGCTTTGTAGAGGCAAGTAGCCACCCTGCAACGGTTGACAAGGCAAGTAAATGATAGCAGCCTTGGGGCAACAGCCAGCAAAGTAGGGAGGTCACAATGAATCTAAACATAGACTGTACAACCTGCACAAAAATTAACTCAAAATCAATCATAGACTTAAATGTAAACACAAAACTCTAAGATTCCTATAACACAGGAGAAAATCTAAATGATCTCGGGTTTGATAGCAACTTTTTAGATACAACACCAGAAGGCACAATGTACAAAAGAAAGAACTGATAAGCTAGACTTCATTAAAATTAAAAATTTGTGCTCTGCAGAGACAATGTCAGGAGAATGAAAAGACATAGACTGAAAGAAAATATTTATAAAAGACATATCTGATAAAAGACTGTTATCCAAAACAAAGAATTCTTAGAACTCAACAATTTAAAAAAATTAAAAATCAGAATAAAAGTGAAAAAGGAGAAAATTCCTTGCAAAATCAGAGTTGAACATATAGAGAATTCTTAACAATAAGAAAAAAAACTACAGCAACTAAAATAAGCAAATTGAAACAGGCAATTCATAAAAAAAAAACATGAAAAAAATACCAGAAAATGTTTTCATCTAAAAGTCATCCAAGAAAGGCATATTTAAAGAATAATGAGATCCTACTTTATTCATATCTAACTGGTGAGTAGAAAGTATGGAGAATCAAGCACCCTCATAAACTAAGGGAACACAAAATGATATGGCCTAAGTGGAGGGCAGTATTAAATACTGCAATTTTTGGGGGGTGCCTGGCTGGCTCAGAGCACACAACTCTTGATCTTGGGGTTATGAGTTCAAGCCCCACACTGGATATAGAGATTACTTAAAAATGAAATATCCAAAAAAAAAAAAGAAACAAAGTACTACAATTTTTTATTTTTTATTTATTTTTATTTTTTTTAATACTACAATTTAAAAAAAATTTTTTTGTTTTGAGAGAGAGAGAGAAGTGCACACAGGGGAGGGGCAGAGGGAGAATCTTAAGCAGACTCCACAACTCAGTGAGGAGCCCAAATCAGGGTTTGACCTCGAGATCCTGAGATTATGACCTCAGCTACGGTCAAAAATAGGATGCTTAACTGACTGAGCCACCCGGTGTCACAAAATACTATAATTTTTACAACTTTGAAATGTACTCATTCACTTTAAGGAATTTATTCTTAGCCAAGAATTAAATATGTGTATTTGATGATAAGAAAGCTCATCACTTTTATAGCTTGAAAATAAATTATGATGCAATACAATTTAAATTATGATAGGACAACTAATTTTAAAATATTTAATAAAATATTCATAATAAGCATAATATACTGTCAGCTTTAAATATTACCCATATTTTTGGATAAAATATATATTCACATATATAATACATACTTATGCACAAAAAAAGTCCAGTAATACACAAACAAAAATACCAACAATGATCTTTGACCAATGGCATTATGGTCGATTTTTTTATTTTCTTTCAGATTTCAAAAAACAAAATTATTTTTAAAAAAAGTTTTCTATATATTCATGAAAAATGAATACAAACACAGTGAAGAAAAAAACAAACATGAGAAGCTTCCACATACGCCTCAAATCCTGCTGTCTGGAAACTGGCCTGAGCACTAACCTGGTACGTCCAGAAGGCCAGTGCTCGGGAGCTGATGTCCAACACGATCTCCGGTCGGAGTCCAGCCAGCACCATGGCTTTGTACTCCTCTGAGGGACTGAGTTCCGTGCGGACAATGTCCAGCTTTCCAGAAAGGGTACTGTTGCAGGCAGGGCAGATAGCTGGGGAACGACTGAACTCTCCACTGCCGTGCTGATCGCAGAAGATGTGGGAGCAGGCAGTGACCCAGGCATAGCCAGAGAGTTTGAGTCGACACCTGCGGTAGTTACACAGCAGCATGTCTTCACACAGAGACATAGCAGAAAGTCTCCCGATGCTGAAAGGAAACCTAACGAGGGGTAAATATGAAGGTCAAAAGAGTCAAATGTCAGTGAAAATGAAATAGAGCATGTTTTCATTTTATTATAAAATATTGTACTTTGTTGTTTGTATTTATTATAATAAATATATCATATACATTTTACTAGTAATATTAACTGTTATCCTTTGTGTAAACCTCTAGAAAGCCCATGAAAAAAATTTTTAGAGACAAATTTTTTTTAAGATTTTATTTATTTATTCAAGAGAGACACAGAGAGAAAGAGATAGAGAGGCAGAGAGAAGCAGGTTCCCTACAGGGAGCCCAACAGGGGACTTGATCCCAGGACCCCGGGGTCATGACCTGAGCCGAAGGCAGGCTCTAAACCACTGAGCCACTCAGGTGTCCCTTAGAGACAAATTAAAGACACAAGTAGTCCAAATCTTATTAAAGCCAAAAATAATATGTATATGTTAAATAAACTTTAGGAACATTTTCAAAGTACAAGTAACAATTAGTGTCTTTTGCCATTCCTCAACACCTAAACAAAAAAGCCAAATAAACCCATGGGTGATAAACCCATCTGTAGTTTGCTAGAATATTTTACTATCACTTCTCACACTTGGCAGATAGAAGTCCAGGTACCAATTTCAGCCATTCTTTTTTCTTTTTTTAAAAAGGTTTTATTTATTAATTCATGACAGAGAGAGAGGGAGGGAGGGAGGGAGAGAGAGAGAGAGAGAGAGAGAGAGAGAGAGAGAGAGAGAGGCAGAGGGAGAAGCAGGCTCCACGCAGGGACCAATGGGGGACTCGATCCCAGGACCCTGGGGGGTCATGCCCTGGGCCAGAGGCAGATGCTCAGCCGCTGAGCCACCCAGGCGCCCCAATTTTCAGCCATTCTTTAGTGCAAAGTGTTTTTTAAGTTGCACTTTTAGGTCTTTCATATTCTCAGATTGTTTACCTGTGTTGCCTTACCTAAAAAAGTGTAGTGATCTGATAGCATTTAGTGGAAAATAACCAGTCCAAGCAAATAACCATTTATATAAAAGCTGATTCATTTTTACCACCAAATAACTCACCTATTAATATAAATACTATTGAATATTATACTTTCAGGGGAAAAAAAAGTTGTTAGAACTAACTCTTACACAAATAAATACCCTTAAGTTACTTTTCAATGTAACGTCCCCACTCCCTGGCTTTACCGGCCCAGGCTGGACAGCGACATCCTGGATGTACCAAAATCATGTATTATATGAGAAAAATAAAAAAAATAAAAATAAAAAAAATAAAAAAGAAATAAAAAAAAAGAAAACTGCGACGCCCCGACTATACGCCAAGGAAAATGCTCCCACCAAACACACCTCTTAACCAACAGATTCCGTCAAGAACGTTACTTTGATGAAAGAAAAAAGAAAAGAAAAAGAAAGAAAAGAAAAAAGAGAAAAGAGAGAAGAGAAAAAAAGAAAAGTTGCCGAGGTCACAGGGTCGAGGGCACTCCGACACCTGTCCCCGCAGAGACTCGCTGAGTTGTCTCCACGGCTGGGCGGCCCCGCGGCCTGAGTGTCAGGCCCGGTTCCCCCCGCGGGGTAAGGGGCGCAGGCAGGCGGGAGGTCGGCCGGGCGGACCGGACCAGGAGGAGGACCGGGAGGGGGGCGGGGAGGGGCGCCGGGAGGGAGGCGCGGCCCGTCCAGCGGCGCCGCGTGCAGGCGAGGGAAGGCGAAGGGCGGGGGCGTCGCGCCGCCGCCCAGCCCGGGCTCCCGCCTCCCCGTGGCCCCTACGGCGACACCCCGACACCGCTGATTCCAGCCTCGCGTCTGACCTGAGGCCCAGGAAAAGCGCAGGAACACGCCTTCGCGCCCACAGCCCTCGTCGTCCCGCCTCTGCTGCGCCAGCCACGCATGCGCAGTCCCGCCCCCCCAGCGCCGGCACGGGCTTCCGGCCGCTCAGCATGCTGGGCCCGTCGGGCTGTGGCCCACACGCAGGCGCACGTGCCCCACGCATGCGCGTCTCCGGCGCCGAGGCGCGGGTCCCGCTGCGCTGTCGAGGGGTCGCGGCGGGAAGGCCGTGGTGCTGCGCTCGCGAGCTTGCTCGCTCTCGCCACCGAGGCCCCGTCGGCGGGGCCGGTGCGGCGCGGAGGTCAGTGCCCGGGCGGCGCGGGGCTTATCCCGGGGCGGCGCGCCACTGGTCAGTGGCTGGTGCAGAAGCGCGGAAACGCGAGGTGCCGCCCTGGGGAGACCCGGGCTCCGCCGCGGTGCTGTGCCGCCCGCGCCAGGGACACCCGTGAGCACCTGCGCAGGACACGGAACTGCTCCTTGCTTCACCTCTGTGTCGGAACGTGCCCAGCGGCGCTGCGAGGCGGAGGAGGACCACATCCGCCTGCCCCACACCTGCCCGACGCCTGCCTGAGGCCTGCCCGACGCCTGCCCACGCTCCCAACACCTGCCCGACACCCGCCCGAGGCCTCCGGACACCTGCCGAGGCCTGCCCCACACCTGCCCAAGGCCTGCCCGACACCGCCCGAGGCCTCCTGACACCTGCCCGATGCCTGCCCGAGGCCTGTCCCACACCTGCCTGACTCCTGCCCCACACCTGCCCGCCACATGCTGCACATCTGCCCCACACCTGCCCCACACCTGCCCGCACTCCCGGGACCTACTTAGAATCATTCAGAGGTTTGCCCGCGTCTTACCCTCGTGCCGTTACCTGCTGCTCTCTGTGCAAACTGCGTGATTTCCTGCGCAATCCATAGGCGTCTGTGAGAGTCGATACAGGTTCTAACAGATCAGTAGAGAAACTATATTGATCAGGAGCCGAGGGTTTGAGGGGTCCCAGGAATACAGGCCTTACTGCGGGCTTCATCACTCCCGGGGAGTTTACCGTGGTCCCAACTGGGCTCAACAGAAGTAAGGCTCCGTGTGTGAACCTGCAACAGCGCCGTTGGCCGTCTGAGCCTTCGTGCAGTTTCTGATTGTGACAGTGCCAGACGTAGTACAACAAAAGGGCACGAGCTCATTGAAAGTTAGGAAACACAAAGCAATTCATCCAGGACCTAACCTTGTGATCTCACTTAGGTTTGTACTAGAAAACCATCTCTTCCTGCTCCTGAATCAAGAACTGATTCCCCAGACCTTAGTGTTCCCCACAGCACTTCCGCACTAAATCCGTTCCAAATTCCTGACCCACTCGGCTGTAGGACTGTAGGACTATGTTAACATCTCCATATATACATCTATTTATGTATACTTTTTGTTTTTGCCAATGAGTTTTGCCAGATAGAATAAAAGGGGCGAGGTGCTATAAAATCTTAATATTCCTGGGACACCAGGAACTGAACTAACCTGCTTCTTAGTGGCATTGTGTCCTCTTTTATTATGGCATAGACAAACCCTCCATTGACTCTTTTCTAGAGTGCTCCTGGGAATGAGATTACTGAAATCAATCAAGGCTGAGATAGAGACCCATCTACCAAAAAGAGCTTTTTAAAATATTGGCCATCACTCAGCTTTAATGAACAGAAATCTTTCTCATATTTGACATTTTTTTATTTTTTTAAAGATTTATTTATGTATTTGTTTATTCATGATAGACACAGAGAGAGAGAGAGAGGCAGAGACACAGGAGGAGGGAGAAGCAGGCTCCATGCCGGGAGCCCGATGTGGGACTCGATCCCAGGACTCCAGGATTGCACCCTGGGCCAAAGGCAGGCACTAAACTGCTGAGCCACCCAGGGATACCCCTACATTTGACATTTTTTTGATGAAGTAACACATTACAAATACAGCTGAAGCCTCCGCATTTTCCTCCTACCTCTCCAGAGGTAAACAAGCCAGATATTGGTATTTATCATTCTTTTATATTTTTAGTGTATATGTATACATCAATATTCTTTTGCATTTCCCTAAAACCACTAAACCTTATCACACAGCACCTATCACTTCATTAACTCCATTTTTGAGATGTAGTCAAGTAAATACACATACCTTGCACAATTCATTTTAACAGCCAAATACTACAAGTATACCACAGTTTATCCACTTTTCTAATGAACATTTCTTCCAGGTTTTTACGATTAAAAACACTGCGATAAACCTTCGTACATGTCTCCTTGAGTGCACATGGCGAGAATTCCTATAAAATGTAGTACCCAGAGACTGGGTTTGTGTAAAGCAGCATCAAATAAATTTCACTGCCACCGGAGTACGTTGCTTCAGACTCAGCAACATATACCAGTGTCATTTTTTGGTTTCATTTTATTTTCATTCTTGCCCTTATCATGGCAGTGAAATGGTATCTGAATGTTGTTTTAATGTGCAATTCTTTGATTATTAGTGAGATTAAGCATCTTTTTAGGTGAATTACTCAGGGATCCACATCTGTGAATTACTCATTCATACCCTTTGATCATTTTGTGGATTTAAATGGAGTCCTTTGTTGGCCACATGGCAGGCAAACATAAGTCTGAATTTTAATGTACACAATTTTATCAATCTTTCCTTTTTGTACTTATGTCTACTCCAATGTCGTTATATTCTTTGTTTTCTATAGGTTTAAAATTTTGCATTTCATTTAGAGATTTACTCTTCCTAACATAGGGTCTGAATAAATTTTGACTGTATAATTTGTGCTTACATATCACTTAGACCATTTAACTACAGGTCATTTTCACTTTCCAAAAATGATTTTTTTTACCATAAAGTTTGATACTGATCTCGTGTAGATATTCTAAGTACCTAACAGTTATATTGAGTATTTATAGGCCACACTTCTCTAAGAATTTTAAGATAGTAATTTCCCCTATTATCACTGAAACTTAAGAATGTTAGCATGATATACTCTAAAATTAATTTCATTATTCATTTTAATAGAAGAATTTTAATCTAATAAAATAGATTTCAAATTCTAACAAGTTATAGGGACATACCATTTGTATAATTCTAGTATAAGCACGAGTATTAAATCACATTTCAAAATACAGAGATATGTACTAGACTTCCAATATTTGAAGTTGTATTTTATATCTTTTGCATGTAAAATATAACCTGAGGGATATAAGATTTATTTATTTATTCATGAGAGACACAGGGAGAGAGAGAGAGAGGCAGAGACACAGGCAGAGGGAGAAGCAGGCTCCATGCAGGGAGCCCAATGCGGGACTCAATCCCGGGACTCCAGGATCGCGCCGGGCCAAAGGCAGGTGCTAAACTGCTGAGCCACTCAAGGATCCCACCTCAGGGATATAAATATACTATGTAGAGCAAAAAAGTCTCTGAAGTATAATTTAGCCAAAACAACTGAAAATAAAATTATAAATATAAGGCAGAAATAATAACTTTTTAACCATACCTGAGTGGTATGTAAAACTCAAATCAATGACAAATGTCCAAAAGGGCTATAAAATGTTTATAATAAAAGATTTCCTATTAAATATCAGCAAGCTTTTATATAATTATTCTTCCCATACCCAGGTTGTTCTGGTGGCTATTCTTCATTGACTCTTAATGGATCAAGCATCATAATCTGGTATTAAAGAGTTTAGGGCTTTTTTTAAGATTTTAAGTAATCTCTACACTCAATAGGGGGCTTGAACTCACAACCCTGAGATCAAGAGATGCATGCTTTACCAACTGAGCCATCCAGTCGCCCCAAGTATTAAGAGTTTTAAGTAGACACTGGTATCCAGATAGTTAAATGTTATATCCATCAATATCCATCAGACTCAAAATCTAAGTCCTAATTATTACATGTAAAAAAAATGTCTTGCTAAATGCCATTAAAATGGTTACCACTTTCCAGAGACTTGAAAAATATATATATAATGCAAGTTTCAATTCACTTCACATATTTTTGAGTATTTTGAGTATCTATTCTGGCATTACACATAAGGAAGCTTTCCTGTTTTCATGGAGTTAATAATTTAGCAAAGAATGTAAGAATGATAAAATATATATATATATATCTTGGTCTTTTCTTTGCTGCCTCTTACATTTTTGCAAGTTGATTCTATAAACCATTTCTGGTGAGAGAAGTCAGATTCTATCTTTAATTTGAAGAATCATGTACCTTCATGTTGTAAAGAAAAAGACATTTTTAATATTAACCTGAAATGTGTAAACAGCCACTCAGTAGAAAACTGATCACTAGAAACTCATCAGTAGAAAACTGATTAAACCACTTAAAATTTAATGACTTCAGAGTATAATGTTTCAGTAACTCTCAGAATCCCTTTACTAGATCTCCTTCTATCATAGGCCCAGGTAGGTGCTATTCAAATATTTATTGTAGGGATCCCTGGGTGGCGCAGCGGTTTGGCGCCTGCATTTGGCCTAGGGCGCGATCCTGGAGACCCGGAATTGAATCCCACATCGGGCTCCCGGTGCATGGAGCCTGCTTCTCCCTCTGCCTGTGTCTCTGCCTCTCTCTCTCTCTCTCTGTGACTATCATAAGTAAATAAAAATTTAAAAAAAACAAATATTTATTGTAGTCGAAGGGTTTTCTAAGAACAATATCCTCATATTTTCATATCAGTTTTATTTTTCAGTTACAGGTACATTCTTAATCCAGAATCACCACCTGCTTTGTAATTGTTTGACTCTGCAAATATCAGAAGACACTCACGGATGGCCAACCCATCCCCCATGGTGCCCTGAGTGAAGACAAGTCAGCTTTGATATATGATGGACTAAAATCCCACTACCTAAGGCTCCAAGCAGTGAGAGGAACAGCCATCAACATTTATCTCCAACCAGTTTTAAAAATGCTTTGAGAAACATTTTTAAAGATAAAGCAATCAAATCACTTTTTTTTTTTTTTTGGTGATCTCTTTCATTCATGATTTTATTTCTCTTTTCTTTTTTTTATAAATTTATTTTTTATTGGTGTTTAATTTGTCAACATATAGAGTAACACCCAGTACTCATCCCGTCAAGTGCCCACCTCAGTGCCCGTCACCCAGTCACCCCCACCCCCGCCCACCTCCCTTTCTACCACCCCTAGTTCGTTTCCCAGAGTAAGGAGTCTCTCATGTTCTGTCTCCCTACCTGATATTTCCCACTTATTTTTTCTCCTTTCCCCTTTATTCCCTTTCACTATTTTTTATATTCCCCAAATGAATGAGACCATATAATGTTTGTCCTTCTCCGACTGACTTATTTCACTCAGCATAATACCCTCCAGTTCCATCCAAATGGAAGCAAATGGTAGGTATTTGTCGTTTCTAATGGCTGAGTAATATTCCATTGTATTCAAGTCACTCTTAATAGGAATCACTACATCTAAGTTCTTAAGAAGTCCATTAAGAACTAGAAGAACCATGGGATCCCTGGGTGGCTCAGCCGTTTAGCACCTGCCTTTGGCCCAGGGCATGATCCTGGAGTCCCAGGATCGATTCCCGCATCAGGCTCCCTGCCTTGAGCCTGCTTCTCCTCCCTCTGCCTGTGCCTCTGCCTCTCTCTCTGTGTCTCTCATGAATGAATAAATAAAATCTTTAAAAAAAAAAAAAGAACTAGAAGAACCAGCTAAATAGACAAAGTGAAGAATAAGGTGATAAATAAATTGGTGGCAAAACAAGATCAATCAACTACAAATGTTATTAGAACAGTTATACAGTTATATAGAGATACACACTATAGTCCTTACTACCATACTTTGCCTAATTCTAGAACTAAATTAGGCTTTGTGTGCTGGAGATAAAGAGAAGCTATAGGCCAGTTGGCAGAAAGACGCACGTAAGTAGACACTGCACGTGGACTTTGATGATAAAACAGCTAACATCTATCGAGCAATTACCATATGCTTAAACAATGTTCTAAGCCCACCCACTTACCATTTATTATGTAATTTTCAAAGTCAAGTACTATTCTTTGACAACATTACTGTTATTCTCATCTTCTAAGTTATAAGGACACTGATGTGTCAGGAAATGTGCCAAGGTTACATAGCTGATTAAGTGACAAAGGATGGGTTTGAACCCAGTCTGACTCCAGAATCCATGTGTAACTATTATCATATGCATCTTTTATTATCATATCATTTCAGCATCTTTAGTTGACTTTTTTAAAAAATAAATTTGTAGCAACTTAGCAACTGGCCATGAAGACACAAGGCTGAATTTTCAAAGATTCATATGTATTCAAAGCTTCTCAATTTCAACAAAGGCCTTACCATAAAAGAAAAATGTTGTCATCATCTATTGTATATCCAGGACTTGTAGCACCCAAGAATTCCAGGCTGGGAGAGAAGTGAGACTTAGCTCTAGTTTTGGTCTCCTGAAACTTCATTTCTGCAAAAGAGATAGCCAAAACTAAAAACTATTTCAAGTGCTGCTGTTACTTTGAATTATTTCCATTTCCTGTGTTTCTCCCTCATATGTACCCCCATTCTCTGCTGAAATATGCAGGCACGGGTAAAGAATAGAAGCCGGTTCTGTGCAGGCTCATTATACAATACATAAATATAATAAAATCAGAAAATACAGATTAACAAGGTCCCCCTTAGAATCCAATTCTAGAGACAAGAACCCCTGGTATTTGAGTATATCCTTTCAGATAATTTCTGAAATAAACGTAAGTTTATGAAAATGTTTAAGCATAAAAAGGATTACACATACTGTACTATAACTAGTTTTTAACTTAATGTATCATGAATACCCTTCCATTTCAAGAAAGATAAACCTGTATCATAACTTATAAAGGACTATACAGTGTCACATTTCTATGATCTTGACAAAATTGATTCAACCAACTCTGGGATTCTCTTGATCTTACAGATAGATTAATAAAATAGTGGTAAGTTTAAAACTGCCAAATAAAGTGATTGATAGGATTATACCAGTCATCAGTGCCTTTTCTGTAGTGTTTGGATGTTTAGATGGAGGTTCTATCCATCTCAAGAAGATAGCACAAAAGATCACAGCACAACAGAGTGCTGTAGTATCGGATCCAAAATTCAAAGATTTAAGAACTACCTGGGCCTGAGGGCTAAATCCCAGTAAGAATACCAAGAAGCAGAATTCAACTCCCGTGTTTGCCCTAGCCTTAGTCTGCTCAGAGCATGTGTTTGACCAGGGTGATCGACTGAAACACGGACTCACCATGCATTTCATCATGGCAAACTGCGAGTGACCGACGAAGGGCAAACCACCACTGGCTCCTCATCTCAACCAAGAGAACCCTCTTGAGGTGAGAACTAAGGCTTTTTCAAACTATCAAATTCCAACCACTAAGAACACTGAGCCCTGAAACAGCAGGTGACTAGAAATCCAAATGAAGTAAAAATAATTTTCTTTTGCACTTACTTCTGGTAACAGATGTATCAACTTCCATCTGGGAATTAGTTGAACTACGCCATCTACCAACTAACTACAGGAGCATCTTCTTTCCAGATGTATCATCTATGGAAAATGAAAAGTAAGTAAATAAATAAATAAAGGTCATTATCACATGACCCGAAGGCACACTAACCTACTCCCAAGTCATAACCCTATAGCCTCAAAGAAAATTAACCTCAAGGAAAACTTCATTCTTTATATGAACCTACAGTCAATACTATAAAGTGACCCATCTATTTGGAGATTGTCATAAAATGCCCAAGCTCAATATTACATTAGAGCAGGACTTCTTACACAAGCTCAGCTTTTCCTATAAATTTAAAAGTTTGGGTAAAACTGTGCAGGAAGTCCAACTAAACTCTGAAAGATTACAAAGTTAGTAGTCTCACAGGAAGAGAATAGGTGTGGAAGAGGAAGGAGCCGCGTGCTGGCTGCAGCTAGAGCTCAGCAGCTGTGGGAGCAAATTCAGAGACACGGCACAAATGGCACGGGATGCTACGAACCTCACCAAGTGCACAGGGTTGGTAACTACAAAAAACCCTGTACCCACAGAATCCTCTTAAAAAAAAAAAAAGGAAGGAGCCATAAATTCATATACAAAGGTAATCTAGGGCCCTGACTTGCCCAGTCAGTAGAACATGCAACTCTATCTCGAGGTTACGAGTTCAAGCCCCACGTTGGGTGTGGAGCCTACTTTAAAATTCCCAGGGGGGGAAATCCCTGGGTAGCTCAGCGGTTTAGCGCCTGCCTTTGGCCCTGGCCCAGGGCTTGATCCTGGAGACCCTGGAGACCTGGGATGGAGTCCCACATCGGGCTCCCTGCTTGGAGCCTGCTTCTCTCTCTGCCTCTCTCTCTCGGTCTCTCATGAATAAGTAAATAAAATCTTTAAAAAAATAAAATACTTTTTTTTTTTCAAAGCATGTATCAATTTCATTTCAGCCAATGCTGATTGTATTTAACCTTTACTCTTGGTAAAAATTTATTACAATAAACTAAAGAAAACCTTCCTCTGACAGCAAAATTGAATTGGCATCATTTGGAGCCAACTGAATTGGCATCATTTGGAGCCCAAGCTGGCCACAAGATGGCAATACAAGAAAAAGCGTGATTTCATCTTCCAACACCTGAGAGTCATCTACAGGCTGTTCATCACTGCAGGCAACATTCAGACTATTCCCCATTCACCAAATTGCTAACTAGGAAGTTTCTTGTATTACATTTTTTAAATTTTTTTCTTTTATTACATTTAATTATAATTTAAAACTTACTAAAATTATTACAACTATATTTTTATTATTTTTTATTATTATTTTTATTATTACAACTATATTTTTTTTCCTCCAGGAAAAGTCATCCTGACCCTTTTATTGTTGAAATTAAAAAATAAAAGATACTTAAATACAGGTGAACATATAGGGCAAAACAGAATCATAAAATTTAACGTTGAATTAAGCAGTGAGCTGAATGTTTGGGTCTCCAAATTGGCTTAAACCCAAACTGCTTAAAAATGGGTATGTTCACAGTTAACGGCAATTGGCTTATAGGTGAGAGAATGGTCGAAGCTGTTCCAGTTGAACTTCCAGAGAAATTCTCTCAAGAACATCCTTTAATTGTTGCTGCAATTCACTGTTCAATCTGGCCAAAACTGTGTTGGTTTCCTTATTGCATCTAATTGATGCCTGAATTGCTTTATCTTTCCCAACAGACCTAGGAATAGAAGGCTGTGATGCAAGCACAGCAGCTAAGACACCTGTCTTTTGCATACGTTCATCAACTTCTGGCCTTAATTCATCTTCTGATTTTAATCTTCTTCGAACAGGTTTAGGTGGTGGAGCGAGAGGTGCTGTGCCTTTGCTCACATTGGCGGGAACACTAGCAGCTGTCTTTTCTTCAATTTTACTATCTATTTTGGCAACTCGAAGAGAACTTGCAGGATCTGAAGCTTTTTCAACCGGCAAGACCTCTGGATGTTTCTCAGCTTCATCATATTGTTCTTCATTTACATTTGATGCAGCAAATACTTCAAATTGGCTGAAATCTGCAAAATTTGGTTGTTCTGGTATCTGCTGAGGTGAGGTACTAGTGTGAGTTATCAGGCCATCAGCATCCACTGGGCAATGCACAATGGGACCAGGAGCCTGTGAGGGCTGTGGTCTTGGAGGCACTGCAGGAGGATGGGCAACAACTCCAGCCTGTTGTTGTCCTGTGGTGACTGCAAAGGTCCGATTCATATCTAAAGATGATGATCTAGAATGAGAAGGCTGTGGTCTTGGAGGAGGAGGTGGTGGTGCACTGTTATCAGGAGACGTTCCTGAATGAGACCTTTGATGAGTTACGTTGTTTCCAATCTGTTCTGGGTCCAAAGTAAAAGAATCTGAACTACTGTACCCATCTGCTACAGTA